ATTAAATGGACGTTCTTGTACAACTCCAGATTCCAGTGTGTGAAAGAAAGTATACAGTACATTTAAAGAATGAAAAGAATGAATGAGAGAAGTAATAATGTTCGACTCCCAATTGATCAAAGTTTGAATGAAGTTTATACAATAACAAATGTAGGGTTGAAGGACCAGTGTGTAACAATTTTACAATGGCAGTTACTCACATAATATTCCTCTTTTGCCAATAGAGCCTCCTAAATGTTACACACTGAACCTTTAAAAGCCAAAAAAACTGTTTATGTTTAAGAGAAAATGTTGTTAATGTTTCCAGCAATCAAGCAAAGTTAAAGCTACAAAATGCTAAAATTAGAGATGTCCACTTGTGGTCAGATCACCGAACACACAGGTCTACACAGGGCAAAAACACCTTGGTCAAGTCATCCAACTACTGTCATTTTTTTAATAGACTTTGTTGTATCAAACTTGTTTTTTAAAGTCAGTCCTTAATTTGATCCTTCATAGCAGACAGTGATAATAATGTTCTTAATTCAGAAAGTAAACATCTTTTAATCCCATCAACATTAAGGAAAACTGTATGTAAAAGATTGGTAATTTCATACAGAATATGAAACATAAACAGGTTTACAACTCACTGTTTTAACATTTAAGGTTGTACAAGATTGTCATTTACAAATTACAGCACTCAGTTTCACTGTCACTGTTTCACTCTCCAACAGTGTAAGTCAAATATCCCACTTGAATTCAATTTATTTTCAAACTGATTTATTTGGTGCTTTAAATGTTTTATGGGTTTGTTAATATTAATGAATTTGTCATCTTAAAGCTAGAAATGAAACCACTTATTAAATGGCTCCATTTGCTAAGTTGAGTCTTCATAGTGACTGAGCCTGTGAAGTTCCTACGTCTGATCACATGAGCCCTGTGCACAGCCTGTGAGTCTTTGTTCGCAGCTTGGTGAACCATGTGATTACTTTGGTGGGATGGAAAATGGTCACACTGGAGACTGAGGCTTTTTTTTTTTGCATTCATATTTCTGCTGACTTGGAAGTTAGAGGACAAAAGCTCCTGCTGTGAAGAGTTCATCCTACTAACACACAGACACACCATTCTCCTCTCCTTCTTTCTTACTGTAGCCCACCTCAGGGGGGAGGACGGCTGTGCTGCCCTTCCCCTTTTCCCCACGCTGCTGAAAGATTAAAAAGTGCATCCTCCATCAAAGGTTGTAGTTCTATTGCTAAGCTTCTCGCTTTCTCATGGCAGCTCTTCTCCTTTTTATCTGGCTCAGGTCTACTGCCTGCCTGCTCTGACAGACCGAGTGGGATGAAAGGAAAACAGATGAACAAAACAAATATTTATTTATTTATTGTCAGCACACAAACTTTGACAGGAGATAACATGGCATAAGTTCTTTTGTTGAATCAACGTGGCTCAAAGTTTCTGTGTCCTGAATCATTTCTATGCAAAGCAGCTGGAAACAGAATAATAAAGGTAATCTGGGGATTTAAAAATAAAAATGTTTTGGAGAGCTGTTCAATATTACAATAGAGACGTAGTAGCTACAGTACATACACTGAGAGTCGCTGTGGAAGTCCTCCCTGTATCTACTGATTAACACTGCAGCATTTCAAATATATACTTAAACATGCAATAACAGATTTTTTTTTGGCCACTTGGGGGCAGCGGAAACAATTTGTAAAGAACACTGTATAATCTATTAAGTTTATGGACCAGTATTTAGAATTTAAATCTGGCGGGTATACTGTCAAACTATCAAAGTCCAAGTCAAAGTCAGCTTGACAGTAAAGCTGACTTTGACTTTGACTTTGATACTGCAGATTGCAACCAACTGAACACTGCTCACGTCTGTATTTGACAATCTGGGAATGAGAACAGGCTATGAAGTGTGTATGAGAGGCTATGGTGGGCACAAATCCCCTGAAAATGTGTCTGGTTTGTCCCTTCTGGGCTACTGTAGAAACATGGCGGACTCCATGGAAGGCGACCAGCAGCGTCTGTAGATAAAAAACGGTTCATTTTAAGGTAACAAAAACACAACAATTACACCACACAACTATATTCAGGTGATTATACACTAATGAAAACATACCTATGAATATTTTATTCAATTTCTGCCAATAGTTCATTATAAATGTTAATCAAGGGAACTTGCAGTTGCCAATTGACACATCAGGCAGACAGAAGCATGTTAGCATTTAATTGGAGTTGTGTATCTGGCCAGCTGATGTAACACTTGGTTCACACTGCCTACCTGAGCAGCGAGTGACGGCTACAGCTTCATCTGGTACGCGTGCTGTGTTTACAATGACAGTGTCTCAGCTTCATGCTGTCAGCCCTACTGAGTTTCACTTTGATAAGTTCCATACAATAAAAGCCTTGTTTACATATGCATAACATATGATTAATAACACATGATTCTGTCCACAGAAACACCAGAAAGCTTTTAATCTGAAACAGATACAGGAAGTGTTGAGTTAAAAAAATACATTAATATTTTTGTCCATGTCTGTGACACATTTTACAGGTATAGACATTGAAACTGTTGGGAAAGGTGTTTAGGTTGCTGGTATATTGTCAATATGACTATGAACAGACCCCTTCCATTGTATATTTCTGCTGGGGGGAGTGGGCAGCGGGCAATGTGATTGCTCCTAATCTGTTTACATGGCGGTGTAATAAAAAGCTGCTCAGGTAGGCAGTGTGAACAAGTTGTAAATCCAATATTCCCTCCTTTTAGCTCTGATTTTGTTCTCCACCAACTCCTGAAGGAAAGGTCAGGCCCTCTAGATGCCAACTAGTTGCTAACTGTGTCGGTTTGATAGAGTGAGTAAAAAATAGGTACTTAAAAACTTTGAGTATCCTTTAATGGAAAAGTGGACTTTATTGGTAATAAAACACATTTTTGCTCAAATACATATTGTGTTTTGTCGACACAACCTCAGTCTGGTATGACTGGCATGGTGCTTTATGTTAGCTAACGTTTAGTCTCACATAGCCAGACCCATCTTCACACTTCATTTTAGGTAACAGATTGTATTGATGGACGTTTTTATATAATTTCATTGACTTAACTTAACACATTTCACTGTGTGTATTATGGATCTTTCATCCCAGACACTTGAAGCTAGCTTGCCCTTGATGGCATGTTATGAAAAGACACCTTGGTTTAGATTATAACAGACACACAAGCATGCTGGTTTGTATGTGAGAGCAATAGAGGGACATAAGTCAAGAATGTAGGGAGAACTCATCATTATTCGACTGTTGGTGAAACTATTTCTACCTGAATAATGATACTGCTGTCAGAGCAATGTCTGTTGTAACCACAGTCAGCCTGTACTAAGACTTTCAGCATATCTCCTCTGGACAAAGGACACTTTTCTTTTTAAGTTTTAATTGTGGAGGCTACAAAGTCACAGGCAGCATGGGATGATAAGGTAAGCAGGATGAATAATGTTAATAAGCATTACAGTGCTGGCACAGGCACATTTTGGCTGTGTAAAGGAAGATAAGACCAAAAACAAAACAGTAAACAACAAGCAAACCAAAACAGTGTCCTACAATAAAATCAATGTCAATGACATGTCATGACAAGAGTAGGCCATAATATAAGCTTCACAAAATGTCAGTGGATTAAAAAAAGGAACATGCCTTTAAGAGCCTGCTGGCATTTCTTTTGAAACAGCTTCCAAAATATATTATTTAAAGACATTTATATAATGTAGCAGTATCTTATCCAAAAATATGTTTGTGGATTTGAATCTTGAATAACCTTAAGCTAATTTATATTCAGTAGTCTAATAGCAGGGGATTTTATTGTTTTTTTTCCCAAAGATGATCAGCTGATTCGGCAGCACCAGCAGATTGTATCAGAAAGGCTGTCAGATGGCTGCGAGTAGATTTATTAAGATGGTAAGCTACATACATGAGCCCTCAAGCCTATAGAAGTCATTATTTCTGCGAATTAATTATGCATGAATCAAAGCTTAAAAGTGGCATTGGCTCCCAGCAGTTTTATGGAGAGGTCCACTAGGTGTTAACTCCTTTACACATATAACACAGCACCGGCTTTATCCATTGACAGTGCTGTAAATACTTTTCCATGTGGTAATTTTGACATTAAGTCCTTCACAAGCCTTTGAAATTCCTGTTTAAGGTCAGCATGAGGATTTAGAGTGTCACTAAAAACGCAGCTGATTTAACACCGATTTCAAACCCCAAAGTGAAATAAAGCAACTATTACATTTGGCTGGAGGCTTATTGAGATTTAATTAGACTAAATTATTCCTCTGTTGTGTTAATTTAGGCTCAATGAGACATGCAGAAAGACCTTAACCTTAAAGTGATAGAAACAGTTTTCAAGTTCATTGAGTTCAGTAAATTGGACTTTCAGGGACTGTAATTAAAACGAATTGTTCTAACTTAAGTGTCCTATAAAATATTTATGCTGAATCTATGACATCAAATAACAAAAGTAGATGCAAATGGACAAATCACTAAGTGGTTGTGCTTTCTTACTAATATTTATTGTTACTGTTACTGTAAATGCTTACATTTGCTCATATGTTCTTAAGTGAACCACAACAAAATGTAACACATATAAATAAAATAAAATATTCTGCATCTTGATTAGACAGTTGCTTGTCTTTGATCATGATTTATCATCACCTCTCTCGGAGGTCACTGTCTGCCCTCCTAGCGACTCCCTCTCTCTCAGGTACTTTCCACATTTCCACCGCAATAAATGCTCACTTTTACCGAGGAACTCCTTTGAATCCGCCTTGTGATTTGATTTTGAACGTCAGCACCGCAAGTGTACGCGCTCAGACCTTTTTTCTAAACCGTGTGCTGTTTGTATTTTAGGTATAAAGGCTTCTTGGAATAAAGTTAACCCAAGAACATTGCTCTCTCTCTGGTGTGCGCCCCCGGTGCTTCAGCCGTCTTCTCAGCTTCTCATTTTGCCACCGTGACATTTAGTTGACACACAGTGCGCAAGTGTTTGCCGCAATGAGCTTGACTTTGATGTTCATGAGGTGGGTTTTTTTTAGGGATTTTTTTTAGGGACGGCTCTAGAATTAAACCCAATTAGTCATTAATCAATTCCATTCCAGTCGCTGCGCCATTCTGCTTCAGGTTTTGGCACTAACAGGGCTTTAGGAGTCTCTTGTGGATGACAGCGGGGAGCAGTGCTGGAGATGCTGTAGCTCACACAACCGCTAGAAGACAAACGCCGTGGTCCTCCCACCTTACCAAAAAGCTCCCGAGTGGAGCTCAAGGAACAGGAACTGTTTCTAATAAACCGATGAATGGTACTTTGCGCCGGATCCCGAGTCTGACTCTGCGTGGAAGCGGGGCGCACACACAGGCAGAAGGACAGTCTTTTCTTTCAGTTAAACCCGGGGTGGAAAAGACGCAGCAATGACAGAGCAGCAGTCGTGCGCAGCGGCGAAATAGACCAACTATTGTGGGGACGGAAGATTGATAACACAACTGGGCGAGCAACGAGAGCGGCAGATGTAATTTCCAAACGTTGCAGTTGGTTTGGTGCCGGTGGTGTGCCGGATGGGTTGTTATTGCGTTCTCCTTTTCATCATTCACTGCTTCCAGCGTTTCCAGATTACTTGGGGATCTCGGACGGCTGTCTGTGTGAGGGAGTATTGCTGCAGAGACTAACGGGGAATGCCATGTGTCGTTGCGCGACATAGAAGCTCTTTGTGGGCTGTTTTGCACCGGGGACAGGTGGTGCCGTTTGTGTGTGTCTGTATTGAAACTAGCAGGGGGGCACGGACACACAACCCCTGAGACAGTTGTCTTAGGGATGTCAGGCCGGCGTACGGAATCAGTTTTTGCCAGAGACAGGTGCGACAGGGAGGAGTAGTTTACAAAGCCCTATACAGGATCTGGGAAACGCACTAACGAGCCTCCTCTCTCCTCTGATCTCACTCTCGGATTTTTGTTGTATCCAGCGGGACTCACAATCGACTCATACTGTCGTTGCCTCGGCGGCACCTTTCCCCTCCCGATAACCAGAGGTAAGTGACCCGAACTGTCCGGTGTGGAGGTCTCTGGTGGGTGGGTGGGTGGTGGTGGTGCGCTCCGGGGGCACTGGCTCTGTCGCGCCTTGATGCTTTGGATAAATTGCATTGCCTCTGACAACATGAAGGAATTTAATTGTGGGGGAATTGGTTCAGCGAACTAAATCAATACACAATAGCTGATCTGTAATCTTTGGCATCTTGGCTTTACAGTAGGTTTCATTGTATAATTCTCAATTTCATACTGCGTAGCTTGCAGCCACGCAGAAAACAAGCAGCTTTCTGGAGCCCGAAGAGGCACTTCACCATCCATCTATTGATTGGATATTGACACGACTCCGATCGTGTGATTGAAAATGGCCATGACCATGATCATTTGTTACTTTACAGCTTTGGTACTGTCACAACACCTCAGTGTCACCCACCTTAATTAAACAGGTTTTCCTTTTGGAACTGTTTCATCTGAGAAAGCTGGGACTTTCCTTTGCTGTGTCAAGAAGAATTTCTCCCCTTTTTGACATTAAGGTTGATTTACATCATAACTAGAAAACCTAATTTTCAAATCCAGTGAGTTGCACAACTGTGGAAACAGACTGCATGTGTCTTCTCCAGGGGATTGGTTAAAAGGTGCCTTTCTCTCTGTGTCTTGTGTGTGAGTGCTTGTTGTTTGTATGGTGTGTGATTGTATGTTATCTGCTGGCAGTTGTGTATGTTTTAGAGTCCTACCCGCTGGGCCCCTGGTGTCCGCTACTCCCTCCTTCAGGCTCTGCCATCCCTCCCTCTCCCTCTGCAGTAGATGCTATCTTTACAGTACATTCAGCTAGTTGGCTGGATAGTGTCGGGATCACATTTTTAGCTTTTTGTGCAAGGACAGCTCACCCTCGATAGCTGGCTCCAAGTCTCCTAAAGTTTCACCGTTTTGGGAGCTGCATGTTTTTTTGTTGTGGCCCCTGTTTCAAATTCAAATTGCCTTTCAGCTGCCTTTTGTCCAATGCCGAGGTTTGTGGACTGGAAAGAGAGACAGAGAAGTAAGTGAAGTCCCTAAGGGTCAGAGCATTCCTATAATGAGCCCTACTGTGTGTGTGTGAGGGGAGAGAAGAGAGAGAGAAAGGCACATCTAAAGAAAGTGAGACAGTCCTTCTTGTCCAGTGCAAGGGTAGACTCAGCCAAGGGAATACCGGCACCTCCACTAACCTTTCTGTCGCTCTGACTGTGTCAATCAGCCTTGGAGGACAAGAGCCTCTTTAATTCCTCTTCCTCTGGGCTGTCACCCACTTTGACAGCTGGGGGCTCAGGGGTGCTGCTGCAGGTTACACATAGATCCTTCCTCCCTGCTGCTCAGATGCTACATCAGGGAATGATGTACTGCACCAGGCTAGGTTTCAGACCTCTTTTTTCTTTTTTCTTTTACAGTAACAGCAGTGCAAATGAGGGAGATACAGTATGTGGTGAATGGGAAGAAGTTAAGATGAAATACGAAAGGAAAGATGATCATAAACTAAATATTGTCTAATTATCTGAGTGTTGCAGCTTCTTTGGGGTGACAGAGGAGGAGCGGTGCCCCCTTTCCTCTCATGTGCTGACATCCTGTTGTAGGCCCATTGCACCAGCTGTAATTACAAGAGAAATGCTATCAGAGGGAATGAATTAATAGACAACAGAGGAAATACCTGTCTGATAACATCTCAGATCTTCTCATTGTACCGGATCTAGTTTTCATTTCCTTAGAAGTGAAGGACAAAACACTTTGTGAGAGTTGAGAATAGAAGAATATCAGCATTTGCTGGTGTTTTAAGTCATTGTTGGAAAGTTTTGAGATAACATCTACTCAAAATAAAAATTAGTTTCACCAAGGGCAACACAGGGTTGTGAACAAGATCAGAGAAACAAAATGATCAAGAGATAGACCTTACAGTATGTGATGCATATACTGTTCATTTTACAGTTGTGAGGCAGCTGTGGCTCAGGAGTTAGAGCGCTAGCACATCAGAAGGTTGGTGATTCGATCCCCGGCTCCTCCCACTGCATGTCGAAGTGTCCTTGGGCAAGATACAGAATCCTAAACTGCTCACAATGCTCTGCCATCGGTGTGTGAATGGGATTCGTTTTTTTCTGATGAACACATTGCATGGCAGCCTCTGCCATCAGTGTATGCATGCGTTTGAATAGGTGAATGTGACATAATGTAAAGCTTTGAGTGATAGAAAGACTAGAAAGGCGCCATGTAAGTGCAGTCCATTTACTGTGAGCAACAAAGAGTTATCAGTCTTTTTTGTCAAGGTTTAACTGTGTAATAGTTTCATAAACCTACTTTTTTTTGATGATATTGAATGATTTTATAATAAACTTCCTCAAAAGAGTTTAATTTCGTTTTGCAGGCAAGGGAGAGGGGATAAATGTTTTCTCAGTCAGTATATAAATAACCAGACTGTAGGAAGCAATACTCCTGCCAAAAGAAATGACTCAGTAGGGGGCAAGATTGCACAGACATGTAAGGCAAACATAAGGAAAGCAATCGAAGGAATAGTGTACCTGATGTTAGAGCTGAAGTCCTGAACACTAAAAGTGATTAGTGGAGAAACCCCAACAGGAAAAAAAGCAATAGTTCCAAGTCAAAGCCTAATATAGGAGCAGGATTTTATGTCAATGGAGAACTCCGATAACAAGGCTGACTGTGTGCCTAGGAAACCAGGCAGGGGGTTTGTACCATTCGAAGGTCCCAGTGCTGATGTCAGTTTTTGGCCATGTTTTTTTCATCCTCAGTGCTTCTCCTCGCAGCTTAACAAACTGCTCACTGGAGCATGGCTAATCCTTGGCTAGCAGTGCCCAGTGATTTATTATAAAGTTAGTTAATTTGGGGAGATCTGCAACATCCCAACGTACACACATGCCCTTGACAGATCCCCGCTGTCTTTACTGCGAAGTCTGCATCACCAATTAGTCTGAAGAATTGTTTGTGTGTGCGTGTTATTGTGTCAGTGTGTGGGTCATTAAGAAGAGAGAGAAAGACGGAGTGAGAGTTTGCCCATGTCTATCAGAGAGAAACATAAGGGACATTGTTGATCACATTGTGTCTGTTTGCCTTCCTGTCTTGTATGGACTTTGTGTGTGTGTGTGCATGTGTGTGAGTCAGTCTGTCTGTGCCCTATACAAGTGTGATTCAGCACTGTCCAGCATCGGTTGAATGGGCGCCCTGTTTGTGCCTCGTTTCTGACGCTAACAGCCGCTCTGCACCCCTTGCCTCGGAGCAAGTGTTGTGCCCTATGTGCTAAAATAACAGGTGTCTTTACACAATGACTTAATCCCTCTTCCCCCACCTCCCCACTGCACCCTGCCGGGGGTTACGTCACCTGTGGGGGCCCGGGGAGGCTCCAGCGTAGACATTAAGATCATAGATTAGTCAGGCAAAGCTTCATTTGCCAGACAAGTTCTGGCCAAAGTGAGGATATACCATTTTACCTCATTAATGGGCTTTTTTTCTGATTGCAGAACATATGTAGAAACCTGGATTCAACATTAAAGCCAGGGTTCTCTCTCCTCAGAAATAAACCCTTCTCTTTACTTTCTCTTTTCTCCGGTACCTACACACCACCAATTTAGCAATTTAATTAAGGTTATTTTGTAGTAGAAAGCCCGTGTTAGAATCTGAAGGTGTGGAGTTTGAAAGGGGGTCATTTAAGAGGCAGGGGGTATCTAAGGAAAGACGATATTGAGTTGCATTATGTGAAAAGTAGGATACAGCGTTTTTGGGGATTACCGTGGACTAAAAGTCAGGACATCTTGGCCTCCGCTGCTGTGATTTGATCTTAGTCTGTCTCTCCAACTTTATGAAAATGCAATACAACTGCTCAAGTAGCCCTTAAAGTCCACTTTGCAGTCAGTGTTGTTTTACTCGCTGCTTTGTATGAGACTTAAGTTAAAAGGTCAGTTTCGAAAACCATACTTTCACTTACTGTATCTAGTGGTACAATATGTAATCATGAAGATCTGGTTTTAGGACTCTATGTGATTTCTCCGTCCACCATGGAATTTTATGTCTGGTACTCATAGCCATAAAAATGTCTTTTCAAGATTCAAATGTAGCATGTCTTTTAAGAAAAAGGTGCCTCTATTACTGTTAATAACCAACACGCTGTCAACCGTTTTCATCAAACAGTATTTCCAATAAAAACTGTGCATGCCTCTAGAGGTAAGCACGGGAGTGAATAAACCCTTTTAATGTCCCTTTTGGCCAATTTTTGCCAAGTTTCTCATTGGCAAAAATTAGTCCTAAGGGTAAGCATTTGATTCTAATTACATTTCAATATTGGAGCAAACATATGTGCATGAACACCTGTGTTTCCTTTAGCCTCTCCTGAGCCTGTCCAGTCTGTCTTGTATTTCTCTGGGTTTAGGCCAAACTAAGGCAGTTGTATTAGAAGTGTCCTCTGTGGGTGCAGAGCTGTCGTCATCTACATCATTCTGGCCCGAGACTGACAGACTGGTCGAGTCTGGGGCCTTGTGTTAAACCTGGCACCCCAGCCTCTTTTTTTTTTTTTTTTTCTGTCATTCTTTCTCTTCAGCATTCCCTCCTGCTTGTTTTCCTCCGCACATTCTGCCTCCACACCGCTTGCTCCCCCTCATTACCTCTCTTCTCCTGTTTCACCCCCCCCTCTTACTCTCCTGCACTTTCTTCCCTACTCCCCCTCTCTGTCTCCTCTGGACCTTGATGTCAAGGCCTCTCAGGCAGTGTGGTCTCTGTCTGCAGGCTGTCAGGGCAGGGACACTGCCCACTGGGACCCTGAATGGGACAAATTGACCGTAACAATGTTCCCACTTAGCATGTGGAGCTGGGAGAAAGAGAAGGTGAAAAGGAGGGCCTGATGATTGAGGGGCAGGCCTGCCACACTGGGGGAAGAGAGGGAGGGGAGGGGGGGGTGTTGGGACAACTCTTTGAAATGTATGAATTTAAGCGTTATATTAAATCACACACCTCGCCTTTTTAAATCCTCTCTTCA